TACCAACTTTCGCCTTATTATTATTTAGTTAGGGTAGTGATTGTGTAACACTGCTTATTTTCCAGTTATTTGTGTTTTCTTTTAATTTGTAATACTGTCAGTAAAAAAAGATGGTGATTATGATTTTAGCTACATTAGATTTTCTTCAATTTGTTCAAATTTGTCTTGTGATCGCACATGATCACTCCTGGAGACTTTTCTGTATACTTGAGAAAAATATATATTGTTGCTTTTGGATGGAATGTTCTGCATGTGTATTCGGTCCCTTTGGTCTGATATATAGTTCAATTTAATGTTTCCTTTTCAGTTTCCTGTCTGGATAATCACCAGTGTTGAAAGCTAAGTTTCCTTATAATTTATTGTAATATAACTTTCCCTTTCTATCCTTAATATTTATTTGATATATTTTGGTTCTCTAGTATTATGTATATATGTGTGTGTGTGTGTGTGTGTGTGTGTGTGTGTGTGTGTGTGTGTTTATAATTACTGTATCCTTGTGATTAATTTCATAATGACATTTGCCTATTTTTATAGTTTTTTACTTCAAGTCTCTTTAAACAAATAGAAATACTTTTGGTTTCTCACCTGTGCATGCATTAAAGTTCAAGTCTTATAGACATGTATTTTGAGATGTGAGTTTGTTTATCTTTTGGTTGAAGAATTTAAGCCATTTGTGTTTAAAAAAATATAATTATTGGTAGGTAAGAACTTACTAATGTCTATGTAACGAACCCTCTAGTAACTAAAATCTAAAAGGATATGTTTTAGAATATTTGCTGAGCATGGAGCCTACCCTGAAATGTGGTTACTATACCCTGTGAGACTCCACCATAGAAAACTAATCTTGCCTTTGCACACGGGTGCCAGTTGCAGAAAGCTTCTTGGTTAGGGGTGGGATCCCTTTTCCACCTTCCCTTCTCAGACTGGCATCTCATCTGGCTTGAAGCTGTGCAGGCTTCATGCATGCTGTCAAAGTCTCCCAGTTAATGTGTGTATCAGTTTTGTTGTATCTAGGAATCACTGTTCTTTGGAGTCATCTATTTCCTCTGGCTCTGATATTCCTTCTGTCTCCTATTCCACATTAGCTCTCTCAGATCTGAGAGGAGGATTTCATGAAAAGATCACATTTAGGAATCTCTTCATTTTTTGCATATTGTCCAGTTGTGGGTTAGCTTTTCATAATGTTCAGGGTTTTATTTAGTTCATTATATATTTTAGATATTAGCCCTCTATTGGATGTGTAATTAGTAAAGATCCTTTTCACATTCTGTAGCCTGCCATTTTATCTGGATGGTGTTGTCCTTTGTCATAACGAAGCTTTTCTGTTTCATTGGGTCATATTTATTGTTTTCAGTTCCTATGCTATTGGTGTCCTGTTTAAGGAGTGTTTTTCTGTGCCACTGAGTTCAAGACTATTCCTCACTTTCTTATTCTATCAAATTCAGTGTATCTGGCCTTAGGTTAAAGTCCTTGATCCATTTGGAATTAAGTTTTGTACAGGATCTTGAATATGAATAGATTTGCTTTTACATGCAACCATCCAATTTGATCAGTAGTCATTTGTTAAAGATCCTGTCTTTTTTCTAGTGTGTATTTCTGGCTTCTTTGTCAAAAATCAGGTGTCCATAGGTTAGTAGAATTATGTCTGGGAATTCATTTGACTACATTGATCAAAGGGTCTAAAGTCAATACCTTGCTGTTTTTGTTACTGAAGCTCTGTAGTACAACTTGAAATTGGGGGTTGTAGTATTTCCAGCAGATCTTTTATTATTTGGGATTATTTTAGCTGTCCTGGGTTATTTGTGTTTCTATTTGAAGCTGAAAATTATCTTTTTAATTTCTGTGAAGAACTGTGTTGGAATATTGATGGCATTGTATTAAATCTATAGACAGTTTTTGACAGGATGGCCATTTTCATTATATTAATCCTACTGATTCTTGAGCGTGGGAGACCTTTCCAACTTCTAATGTCTTCCTCAATTTCTTTCTTCAGTGTCGTAATTGTCTTAGTTTTTTTTTTTAAATCAGTCCTTAGATTTTTAAAAATTAGTTTTTTTTTTAAATTTTTGGATGCCATTGTGAAAGGTACCATTTCTCTGATTTCTTAGTCTGCTTGTCATTTGTATATAGAAAGGCTACTGATTTTTGTGTGTTAATTTTGTATATTGCTACTTTCCTGAAAGTGTTTTTCAGCTGTACAAGTTTCCTATAGAATTTTTAGATTAGATCTTTTATGTATAAAACAGTATCTTCTTCAAATAAATATACTTTGACTTTTCCTTTCCTATTTGTATCCCCTAGTTTTTCTTCACTTGTGTTATTGCTCTAGCTAAGACTTCACATATTATATTGAGTAGGTATGGAGAGAGTGGACAACCTTATCTTGTCCCTGATTTTAGTGGATATGCTTTGAGTTTTTTTTCCATTTAGGTTGATGTTGTTTGTGTTGCTATAGATTGTCTATTATGTTGAGGTATGGCCCATATATTCCTATCATTCCAGGACTTTTATCATGAAAAAATGATGAATTTTGTTAAAGGCCTTTTCTGAATCTAATGAGATGATCATTTGGTTTTGTCTTATGTCTCTTTGTGTGGTAGATTAAATTTATTAATTTATATATGAACCATGTTTGGGATGAATCCAACTTGATCATGGTAGACAATCTTTTTGATATTTTCATGGGTTCAGTTTTGCAAGTATTTTATTGAGAATTTTTGCATCTATGTTCATAAGGGATATTGGTCTATAATTTTTTGGGAGGGGTGGGTGTTTGTAATTTAGGTATTAAGTAATACTGGCCTCATAAAAAGAAATGTGAAATGTCCCTTCAGTTTCTCTTTTGAAGAATAATTTGAGGAATATTGGCATAAAGTCTTCCTTGAGAGTATCCACTAGAAAGAGCTAAGCTATGTCTAAACCAAGAGATGGAGTCCCCATGGAATGGAGATGGGATGAGTAAAGGGGTACCTAAAAGCAGACTGCTACAGGACTGCTGAGAGTGTTGCATTTTGTTTTATTCTAGGCATTTTGTATAGAAGCCAGAGTGGATAGTATCTTCCCTTCATGTATGTGTGTGCATATGTGACCCGCCTGCAGGGCTTCAACAGGTTCTCGACCACCCTAAGGAGGGAATGTAGGGACAGGAGATACAAAGGAAAGACACCAAGTCTAGATTCTGATCAAGGTGCAACTTGATTTCTCTTCCACAAAGGTTTATATAGTTCAGCAGGGTGGAGGGAGCAAGAAGCTGTCATCTGCATAAGGTGGGGCAAGCTAACAGGATGTTTGTATAGGATGTTTACAGGGTGAGAGGGTCAAGGGCTCTGACTCAATGTCCTGTTGCTAGGCAACCTGACTGTAAGCTGATCTAGTTCCCTGTCTTATTGGGGGTCTGTATTTTTCTACTAACTAGAGATTCTGTCCTTGTCCCTGACACATATGTATGTGTATGCACATGTGTGTGATAATCTCTTCACTGTTGGGCTGGGTGGGTGTGGGTTTTGTTAATGCTGTATATAATAAACTTCAGCATGTCACTTAGACTTACAGCAATAGATTCCAATTTCTTTGTGATTTTTTTGTGGGGCCATCGTGCAATGAGGTCTTTTCTTAATGTTCTTACTTTACCTTTGCCTCTCATCAATCACTTGGACATGCCACATCATAGAAAGACTCCCATCATGCTTTTCTTGTATGTAATTACTACTTTGTAAGTCACAATTCTGGAGGGATAGATTTCTTCATTGTGGTAGATGGGCTTCAGTGTTAAGCATTGTCTAAATTGCTGACTCTTGTTGCTGGAACCTTCTCAAAGCACTGAGTGTCGTCTTCCTTCCATGGCTCACATGACACTCAAATTCTGCCTTTTAGAGCTCTTCATAGAAATGTGCACTTTATCATTCTCTAGTAGTCTAGATGTATTTGCTTTGTATAAGAAAGAAAATATTGTGCCTATATTTCAGTGGCAGCCAGTAACCACAGGCCCAGCACAGCCACCAGGGAAGTTCCTCTTCTATCTTCACTTAGCCCTTTATCCTAACTTTTCTTTCTCATGAAAAGCCTGGACTAAGGATATGCAAGTGAAGACATACTTTTCTTATAGCAGATGCCTGGTATCATACTAGCTATACTTTACCATTAAATATCTTTAAAACTTACCTCATTGTCATGTTTTCCTCTGTTCTTTTTCTTTCCTTCTTTTGTTCTGCAAAAGTGAAGTAGTTTCTGTTATAGGTTCAAGAAAAACTGTGATTGTATAGATTATTTGCCTTTTCTTGCTTTCTAGAATCTAAACAGAAGCCAAAACAATAATTCATATTCGAATGAGTTTGTCTCTGTGTGTAATACCTTCGGAATCCTTAATGTAAAACTATTTCTTATATGAGTTTAAGCTTTTTTTTTTCTTTTGTTTTTATCTGTTTTGATTTTTGTTTGGTTTTGTTTCATGAGATAAGATCTCACTAATATCCCAGATTGGCTTAGAATTTATTCATTTCCCCCCAGGGTGAGTGTACACTTGATCCTTCTGCCCCTGCCTCTCCAAATCAAGAAATGTTCAAGGACAACTCTTTAGTTGAGTCTTGGCAGCTAGTATTGCTTGTTTGTTTGCTTGTTTGTTTGTTTGTTTGTTTGTTGTGGTTCGCAGTGATTTCCTTGGAGATGTGTTTTACCTCCCAGGGTATCTGGTACCTGTTGTTTTGATTTATTGCTGTGACTTGTCTATGTCAGTTGCTTCAACAATCATGGTTCATAAAAACATTCCCATATGAAGAAACAGAAAGAATAGTAAGATTCTTAAAGAACATCTATTTGTTCTAGACATCTTAGGTTTAAGAGATTATTGCAGTTGTTACCTTTCCATGGTCCCTCAGTGACCCAAGCGAATGACCTTTTCAGAAAATATATTCCTATCCCTAAGGAAGTAACTGGTAATTGACTGAATAGACTCAATTTTTCTAATGCTTTATTTTTTTTTCATCATCTACATTTTTATTTAGAGTTTTGGAGGCTGGAAAGGCAAATGTCATTTTACCAAAAAATTCTCCAAGTGGGATAACTCATGTGATTGCCAGTAATGCAAGAATCAGTGCTGAGCAAGAGCAAAAGAACTTTAAGGCTCCGTTTTACCCAATTCAGTATTTAGGGGATTTTCTTTTAGAGGTAAGTACAATAAGTACTAGACGTCTTAAAATGTTTGTTTTTATAAAGTATCAACAGAGTGAAATGAAGTCTTTCTATGTCGGTACCAGAGGATAGGGTCTAGGCTACCCCTTAGACACCAAAGTTTACAGATGCTAAGCTCTCAAAACCCCTTATGTAAAATAACAGAGGGTTTAACTGTCATCTGTATTCACCTTCCTATACACTTTGAATTATCTCTAGATTACTACAAGCCTACATGTTTAGTACCAGTCAGATTTAAGCATTATAGGCCAATTACCCAGCTGGGTTTATCGATTTCATGGATTTAGAACATGTAGAAATGGAGGACTGAATATTTATATTAAAATTGAGTTCTGAATTTTGAAAATGCAATAATTAGAAACATGAAATGGGATATTTTAAGGCATTCTCAATTTCTTCAATAGTTGAGAATGTGGGTATAGATTTGAGAGAAACTTAAGTTAAACTTGTTTCAGTCTCTACTCATACCATAAATGCTTTAGTGGTATATGCGAAAAGTAATTTTAATTATTTTACCATATACAATAATAAAATAGCAGAGAATGCATGGCATATAAATTTGAGATTGCTATCTCTTTTTGAAAAGAGAGAATTATTTCTAAGATTTAGAAGTAATTTCCTGTCCTGTTCCCCCTTCTTTCTTCTTCCTTTGTCATATAAATACCAATCTCAAGTTTTTGAACAGGGATCAAACTCCAGATGAAACTCCTAATAGATAAGTGAAGAATTTATGACTCACTCATAGGGTTAGAGAAAGCTCAGGGTGTTCATAAATAACTTTCATCTATGAACAGTCATACTCCTTCCATTCTACCTCATTTCTGTGGATACCATGAAATGATCCCTGTTAGCTTGTACATAGTGCCAGGGACCTAGAATCACTTTTCAAAACCTTCCTTCCCTGATTTCTTGTATCCAGTCATTACTAAGTCATATCAGTTCTATTTCACATGTCTCTTGATTCAAACAGCTTCTCTTTTTTTCTAACATCATACTAACATCAAATCTTTCCTTTGTGCACCTAGAATAAATTTCTACCTAATATTCTACTTTTAACTTTGTGTTTTCCATAATATGTCCTGATCACCTCACACAGAACTGGAACATGGATTCTCATTTCATATTTGTTAGATCAGCAGAAATTGTGAAAGCCTTCTGAATCTTCTGAGAGTACACATAATATGTCTTTCTATACTCACCTTTTCCTGGTGAGTAGTAGCAGTGTAAGCTTAGAAAATTGGATTTAGTTCATTGGATGTATCATTTGAACTATAGGAAATGTCATTGTCCTTGACAGTGATTGAGCTAGGAATGATCATGTGGTCAGATCTTTGGGGTAGTGAGAAGTGTAAGAGATAAAATATTTCCTCCTCAGTCTAGCCTTGATAAGAAAGAAGACAACCATATAGACAACTGAATGAAGGTAGAATCCGGACACTTACCTGGCCCTAGAGGTAGGCACCTACAATTCCAGAACTCTGGAAGAGTGAAGCAAAAGGATCATGAAGTCAGGCTCGTTTGGGCTCTGTAGCAGGACTGTGTCACAGGCAAAAACAAAAAGGCTGAACCCTTGCTGATCCTGAGTTTCTGGATTTATCACTCTCAAAACGAGTTCTTTCATTGACCCTCATTGCCATTCTGAGGGTTAACACTTGTGTTGAGTTGTTTCAGGTGGTTTTCTAGTATGTGCTACCAGTGATGGAAAGTCATTCTTAAAGTATATCTGAATTAAATATTTTCTGTGAAGGCGAATGATTGGAGCATGTTGTATAATAACCATACAAACTTAATATACAATAAACTATGACAATATTAAGATTTAGCTGCTGAAGTATTAAAGAACAGCAAACATTATGTCAACCAAAAGTAGCAGATAGCATCTAGTTTATATACTGAGTTTAAAATACATTGTTTTGTAAGTTCTGGGTCAGACAGAATTACGTAGCTGGTATAAGTGAGAAAAACTACATTGTGATTATTTCTAGGAAAAATGAGAAAGTTAACTTCATCTTACTCTTTTCTTCCAATTCTATGGCACAGAACACATTGTGCACCTCACACACTTCCTTTAAAGTATTATCTAGAAAAGGTGCTGTGGAAATTGACTGAGTTAAAAATGGCGATCACAAAAACTCTTGTGTTTAATGTTCCTAAACTTTTTAGAAAGCTGAGTGGCGGATTTGGGTTAATATTCAGTCTAGGTTTGTAGGTCTGTATGGAGGACTTGCTATGCAATGCATTAGAGATATGAAATGAATAACATCAGATATCCATTTTTGAGGTATTTTGCTATTTAGTAATGGAGAAAGAACATAGAAATTATTAATTTCATTTTCTAGTAAAATGCAGGTTAGTAAAAAAATTTGTAAAGTAAAGGAACACAAAGGGGCAAAATAACTAATATGTGTTAATTGTTGATCTGTCTGTCAGATTTTACAGAAAGGAGAAGTTATTTTAGAATACTTAAACTTCTTTGGACTGTGAACTAACGGAAACTAAGAGATTTGGGGTGATGGCTCCATGAGCGAAGTGTGAGGACATGAGTTCAGAGCTCTAGAATCCATGTAAAGCCCAACACGGTAGCACACATCTGTGATCCTAGACTGCTGTGGTGAAATGGGCGATGAAGACAGGACTATCCCTGGAAGCTCATGGGCCAGCTAGCCTAGCATACACAGGAGCAAGCAATAAGAGATCCTGTCTCAAACAAGGTGGAAGGTGAAGATGACACCCAAACTTGTCCTCTAACCTCTACCCTTGGCACTTGTGCATATACAAGCGTGCATGCTCACACACATCATAGTCACACAGAAATTTTCTTAAAAGAAGGTAATTAAAATGAGTTGAGGAACATATACAAGAGGGGCAACATAAAGACTTTCTAAGTTAAATCAACTGATTTTACCTAGATTTCTGTTTGCTTGTTCTAAGATATCATGAAGTCATTTTGTTCTATGCCATAGTACATGCAGTAGTATGTCGCTGGGTGTGTTAAAGTTCATTCCTAATCTTGCTGTGGTTGTGAGAAATATTAGAAGTGCTGCTCTGTGCCGACAGTGATCACTGTGTACACTATGCTAATCACTTTATACTCTCTTTCTTATTTAAACCTCTATTTCTATGCAGTTGGAATTATAGCCATCCCACTTCAAGTTGATGAAATTGAGGTACAGTGGATTAAATAAATCGTCTGACTTCCCATAACTGTCATATTATAAGAGTAAAGTGCCACTCAGTGAATTTTGTTTTCTTTACTAAAATCTACCCCATTTGCCACATCTCTCACTTGGGTTAGTTTTAGGTTTCATTCACTGACTTTTTCTGTAAGTAGTTAAAATTTTGTAATGGATTTAAATATCACAAGATAGTAGTTAATTATGAAATTTCCATGTAAGAGTCAAAGAAAAATCTTTATAAAACTGTTCTTATACCTGAGGTTCAGGGAACCTGAGGAAGAGAGAGTGGAAGGATTCTAAGACCCAGGAGATGAGGGAGTTTTCCATGAGATCCTCTCTTCACTCCTGTCAGAAGTTGCACCACATGGTCTTACCAGCATGACTGCCTAAAACTAAACAAAGACCACCACCAGAGTGCATGGGAGAAAGACCACTAGGCTTCAGCTGTGCACAGAGAGCTACAGGCACCTAAGGAATGCTGAGAATGGGAGAGAGAGTCCTCTCCAGGGAAGAGCCCAATTACTTATCCAGTCCCAAATGGGCAGCCCTGGAAATACAAAAAACATACAAGGAGCATTATACAGACTGAACAGGTTGTAGTTAAGACACATACTTATACATACACATATACATATGTGCATGTAACAACAATTAGTGGGGAAAAAAGAGCCATGAATGTGAAAACAAGCAAGGATGGTTTGGTGGGATGAGAGAAAAGCAAAATGATGTAACTGTTTTATAATCTCAAAAAGAAAAAGAAAAAGGTCCACCCCCACCCCTGGCCTAAAACAAAAAAAAACAAGGTATAGTCAGACATAGTGTTACACGTGGATAATCCCAGTACTTGGGAATCTGTAGCAAAAGATCACAAATCCAAGAGCAGTAAAAGCTACAGAGTGATTTCCCGCCCACTTGAGCTATACGCTGATGAGCTCTATTTTTGTTGTTTTTTCAAAGGCCGTAGTCTGTGTTAAGAACTAAGTAGCATTTTAAACACTGTTGTTTGTTACTTGATTTCTCAAGTTCGTAATCTTGTTATTAATCCCAAATCCAGTCTCATGAATTCTTTTATTCAAATTGTGTGACAAATGCCTTGGCAGGATATTAGAATTAGACTTGAGAGTAGAGTATTTACAGCTGATCCAAGACAGATACTAAGTTAGACATCTGAAAGAAACAAAGTAGGCTAACTAGGATTTCCACTGCTGTATTCTTAGGTGATAGACTTTATAAATCAGTGGACTTTTAATTACACACTGACATATAGCACTGTACTGCATAAAATAGACTAGATGTGAACTTCTTTCCATATAATAGATGTAGAGAAAAGCCTTATAATGCTTAAAACCTAGTTGGTGCTAAACAATATTTGTAAAGTAAGGAATTTTAAAAGAAGAATATTTTAAAAGAAGAAATTTACATTTAAAATAATTTCTATAAATCTAATAGTATTAAATTGAAGAAAATATTGGTATTTTAGTTTAGAGAAGGGTTTATGTTACATTCTTTTTAAATGATATTTTTATTATTTCTTTGAGTTAATGATGTATTTTGATCATATTCACTCCTAACTCCTCTCAGGTCCACTCCAACCTCCCTCCCTACCCTACTTTATGCACTTTGTTTCCCTCTCCCTTCCCCTTCCTCTTTACCCACCCCCCTTTCTTCCTTCCCTTCCTTTCTCTCTCAGTCCCTGGAGTCCAGTTTGCTATGGGTGTTGGGCTTGCCATGAAGTGTGGTTGATAGGCCAGAAAACTGGTCCTGCTTTTCTCAGCAGCTACTCATTGCTAGTAGCTCTTCAGCTAAGCATGGGACTACATGCCCACTCTCACTCCGGTACTGAGATATGTCAGCTTGCACAGATTTTGTACACGTGTGTGTGTGTTCATGTGTATTTGGATGTGGGCAAGAGATCATCTTCAGATGTTGTCCCTCAGGAAGCCACATTTATGCATGGCTCCTGGGATTTGGACCTCACTGGAGACATTGCGGGAATGATGGAATGATGGACACAGAAAAGCTGGGGATTGGGTGGCCTCAGCTTTTAGATGAAGGAGCTGAAGTACCCCTTAAACTCAGCATATTTATTATGTATAATTGAATAGTGAGGTGGGGTTTTGCATACAGCTGAACAAGGAGGCAGGGTGTTACAGCATGGAGGCAAAGTTTGTGGTTTATAGCTGGATCAAGGGGGCAGGTTTAGCTAATCTCTGTAGGACCTCTCTCTGTAGGGGAGCAGTGTTCAGGGTATTAATATCTGGAAGGGGAAGTCTATGGGGCACATTTCCTGTACACACTGTCCCTACTTGTATTTGGTACCCAGAGGAAGACTTTGCCATCCCTGAGCCTGTGGTTTCTTGACACGTCTGTGCCCATGTCAACAGCACACATTTACTCATGATCTTACTCACTCAGGACTTCCTCTGCTCCCTACATTAGGAGTCATCTCTACCTTGCTCTTTGGAGTCAGGGTTTCTTTCTGGATTTGCAGATAGCTGAATATGCTAGGCTTGCTGACTAGCAAACCCTATAGATTAGCCTGCCTGTGTCTCACTAGTGCTAGGATGTTAGACACACGCCACCACTGTACTGGCTAGTTTTATGTGAACTTGACATAAGCTAAGAGTTATCTGAAAGGAGGGGGACTCAGTTGAGAAAATGCCTCCATAAGATCCATTTGTAGGGCATTTCTTAATTAGTGATTGGAGTGAGATTCAGTTCATTGTGGGTGATACCATCCTTGTGCTGATGGACCTGGGTTCTGTAAAAAAGCAGGGTGAACAAGCCATGATGAGCAGGCCACCAAGCAACACCCTTCCATGGCCTCTGCATCAGCTCCTACTTTCATGTGCCTGCCCTGCTTGAGTTCCTGCCTTCACTGCTTTTGATGATGAGCTGTGATATGGAAGTATGAGTGAAATGAACTCCTGTCCTACCCATGTTGCTTTTTGTCATGGTGTTTCATCACTGCAATAGTAACCCTAAGACAAGTTGGTACCAGGGTGCTGGGGTATTGTTGTGACAGACCTGACCATGCTGGTTTTGGGAGGATTGTGGAAGGACTTTGGAACTTGGGGCTAGAAAAACCATTGAGTGTTGAGCTTGGAAGGTAAGAATGTTGAGAGCAGTGCAGATAATGGAGTCCTGGTTTGTGAAGTTTCAGAGGAAAGCAAAGACCCTACCAAGTTTTTTTTGCATGAAGAATATATAGTGTCTGGTCATCTGGAGCTGAAGATTTGGCTGTGATTAACAAGGAACTTGAACTTAAAGTAAAACCTTCACTTTATTGAGACAATGGATGCTAGGCAGCTGGGGCTGAAGAATCAGCTGTGATTAAGAAGAGGCCAGCACTATTGAGGTGAAGTCTTCTGGGAAGTGTTAACTCAAAGTCAAACACAGAACCTGTGGTCCAGAGGCAGCCAAGGTTTTACCTCCTGCTGGTGGTTCAGCTAGTTATTGTAAGAGTCACCTAGGTAGTACTGGTTTTGAAGGCATGAAGGGCTCATGGAGAGTAACTGAGGCTTGGCACTGTCTGGCATGGCTCAGGTTCCTCTAAAGGAAGGTGAAGTCCAGTTGCAGCCCAGGAGCCCAGTGTTTTGGAGATGCAGCAGCAGTGGTGTGGAGCCAGCCCAGCCACCATGGCTGCCCCTGGGAGTGGAACTCACAGCCTTGTCTTTGGCTTTATAATCAAACATTGTTTCGACTTAAATTTTTCACATGTCACAATTTATCTATCAGTGTCTAATTCTTAAGTCCGTAACTTAGAGTACTTGTATAATGCACCCCAATGTGTAGATCTCTTGTGTAGCTCCTGAAAAGGATAAAAAGTAAACATGTTTCTGGTCTTTTTACTAATGATAATAAATGTTACTTTGCATTCTGTTTAACTGAAATCTTTGTAGAATTAGCCCTGATTTTAACCATTTATTTGTACAGGCTAGGAATTTATCTTCTTTCAACCATGTGAAGTTAAAAAACAAACTATTTTTCTTGCTGCAAATTCTTCCAAATAGAAATTGTTTATGTATTTAAGATGAATCTTTAAAAGGGAGAAAAAGAAGTTCTTATTTTTCTAAATTTTCACCTTAACTTCTGAGTTGATGTAGAAATTCCATCACTTGCTCTCAAGGGTTATTCTGGGCTCCAAAATTGCTGTCTGCTGAAGGGTGACTCTTGCCTGAAGAGGGAGTCCCCGCAAGTAAGGGAAGCAGTGTGGCAGACAGTTTAGACTCCGTTGTAATTATTGCCTAGGATGCTGGTCTTCCACGTCTCTATGCAAATGTAAGTATGTGGACACTTGCACAGAGACATCCCGGGAACCATTGGGAGCTCACCTTTACTTTTAGCTTGTTTTCTTGCTACTACATGATATGTATAATTACATGGATACTTTATAAAGACTTAGAAAATCGTTTATGAACTCAATTCAGATTTTTTTTCAAGACTGTTTGCAGTAGCAGAAGGTAAAGGTGCTGTTCTGTAACATAGGTGCTGAATTATCTTGCAAATGAGAAATCTTATCAGTGCAAGGTTGAAAGGTAAACAGTCTATCCACAACTTGACAAATTTTAAGTCTAGATTGTAGTTTGTGTGGAGGTATGTATATATGCACTCAGGTACACTCTCAAGTGCAGAGGCCACCTTGTGAGGAGCTAGCTGTTAGCCTCAGATATCATTCCTTGAGAACAGTCCATCTTATTTTTTGGTTGTTGTTTATTTTGTGGATTTTGTTTTATTTGCACTTTATGTTTTTCTCTTTCTTTGGTACTTGTTTCTTGAGACAGGGTTTCTGGAGTTTGCCATGTAAACTATGGCAGCTGGCCAACAAGCCCCCAGGATCTACCTGTCTCTACCTCCCAAGTGTTGGGTTCTAAGTGTGTGTTAGCAAACAAAGCTGTTTTATTTGTCTGGATTCTAGGGATTGAATACAGGCCTTCATGCTTACATGGTAGACAGGTTACTGACTGAGCTCTCACCAGCCCTGAATTGTAACTTTAATTTGCTTAGGGCTATGTATAAAATGTTTTGGTCCTAGATGACTCAGAGATAGGATTGTTACTAGACAAGGAAGTCTGACTGTAAATGGACAAGTTTTAGTATCTGAGATGTGTTCTTAATGTTTATAAGGCTATATAAAATATTTTTGTCCTTGATTCCTCAATAGCAGTTACTAGACAAAGCATTCACTTTTTTTGTGTATGTATGTGACATACAGAAATCATTATTATTTAGAAAGTTTGCTATAAGTATTGGTTCCTTGAAATATTTTACCAGTTTTTTATAACCTTTCTTTTAGGAAGACTTGATCAGACAGTATATGCAATTATATATTAAGTTGAAGTCCATAAAATATATATAATAAATATGCATAATAACATTATTATACTTAGTTAATGGCCTAAACTTTTTTATACACATACAGAAAGAAATTCAGAATGATGAAGATTCCCAAACTAGTTCTGGTTGGACCAAATACAACAATCAAGAAAAAAGCAAAGATCTTAAGAAAAACACAGGATTTCTTGAAATGAAAGCTGCTGGAGAGAGAAGAATATATAGAACCCAGGTAAAATTTTATGAGTTAAATATTCCCTCATCTTTTTCCTAAAGAATTATAGAAGAGAGCCCATTCTTGGTTTAAAAAAAAATTATAAATCTTGGGATCTGAAATAGAGCACATCAACCTTATATTTTTAGGCCGTGAGTTGAGTACATTGGGAAGTTTTTGTAAGTCTATGTTTTAGGACTCTCTGAAATAATGCATATGTGCCTAGAGAATTGTTGAGTTCCTCAAATGTGGTATTTTCTCAGTATGTGCTAATCACTTAAAACTTGTGTGCTTACTGTATCACGTGCCTTATAGAACTTTTCCTCATCCCTGAGCACTCTGTTCATAGCGGTCTAAAGTCAAACATGTAGCTAAGTGAGCAGAACAGAGCTTAACACAAATAAACTTGTATTAACATGAAGAACAAGACAACAGAAAAAACAACAAAACAGGAAGACCGAAGCTGTTGTGCAGCAGTGTGTCACAGACATTAGTGATAAACAACAACAACAACAAAGCCTCATTGGTTCTGCTGTAGAAAGCTATGTTCAGTTCATGCTATATGTAATAGGTCTGTTTGTTAGTTTATCAAATCAATTACTCAGCAACTATTAGTCTAAACTGAAACATTTTTATAGCTAAGTAGAAACTTATATTCATGCGAGGAACAATTTAGAAGTTTTTAAAATTTGTAGTTTCTTAAATCACATGACAGGTTTAACTAAGATTAAAATACATTGGCCTTTTTGCTCCTACTCCTGAATACAGTGCTGTTTGTGTGCCATTTAAGACTCCTTTCTGTAATCATATGTGCATGTTTAGTAAGGTGTTTTGAATTGATGTGTCTAAAATAATGCATTCTAAATGCAGTATGAACAGTTGCTGTATACAGCAAAGAATGTAAAATGATGAGGTTATCAAAATAGATTTCATGTTATTAAATCTATAAAAACTAGATAATTTGTAAAATATAAGGAAATAAAGTTAGGAGGTTGTACATAAAATTAGCATAGAAATTTCTCATGCCTCAAAGAAAAGAGATTATAATACTTCTTAATCTGGATAATAAGCAGGTTAACTAAATATGTCTGGTAACTTACTGTTTGTAAAACATGGCAAACTAAAGCTTTGTTTTCTAGCCCTTTTTGTAGAACGAGGATGTATTAAAAATCACTTTGCATTTTGAATTTAATCTCGTGTGTTATATAAAGCCTTTCTTCCTGAAGTTTTCTGTGTCTTCCATTGGTTCTGTTGAAGCTGTACTAACCCAGAGTATAATTAATTTCATAAACATATAGAACAAAATGGAAAATCATGATGAAAATGTTAATGATAGATTTGCTCTGAGTCAACATCACAAAAAAGAAAAATTCAGAGACTACAGAAAAGATATGAAGTCTGTTAAAAAGAGAAATACATTCAGAAGACATACACATGAGAATCAGGTAAATTTTCACCAAAAAATTTATTTTATCTTATAAATCCTTTCTAAATTTACTAAATACAATGTGAGTCATGAAATTTCTTGTGGAGTACATGTATATATAAAGTGTTATAAGACATTTATGCCGTGTTTTTAAAGGAAGGAAAAATGCCACGTTATGAGCTCATTAGCCAGGGAAAGAACCAGTCTTACCAGCTTCTAAGCCTCCTCTGTCATTTTCTAACTAAGTTTTCCATTTTACCTGGAAGTGTCCCTTATTTTAGAACTCACGTTATTTTTCATGTTAAAATGGCATTCTGTTTTGCTTGTAAATGAACATTTGCAGGTCACACTATCTTTGGACGTTTTCCTCACCTGTATGTTTTGTTGTTCAGTTGTGTTACATTTTTAAACTTCATCCATTTTTTTGTTGTTGCTGTTCATAAGCATTTGGCTTTTTGTTTGTTTGTTTCTTTAAGTATTTGATTGGTTGTTTTGAGATTATCAAACAGTTCTGCTATGAACAAGTGGCCCTTGGTACACAGGTTCCAGGATTTCCTAGCTGAGAATGTCTTCCTAGGAATGAAGTTATTATCATCAGGACAATGTGCATTTTCCCAAATGTTTTTTCCTAATGTATACACATTTAGGTGTGGGTGAGCTTTTCCTGTGCATAGAGCTCTGTTGACCAGTGTGTTACACGGACTTGAAAGCGCCCCCCCCCCCTCCACTTTTTAAAAGCTTATTTGGACTTTGTAACATTTAATACATATTCTGCTTTGTTTAATTGTGGTCAAAATACAGAAAGAAACTAAGAAAAAAGTTAAAAATATCCAAAGGACTTACATTTTGAGGAAAAAGAACAAAAAGGAAGGTTATTGCAAAACTGATGATGAGCATGACACACTCAGAAGTCCGTTTCCAAAGCACGGGCATGGCCGAGACCAGGTGAGGGGCCGGGTGTGTATGTGAGCTAGACAGGCAGGGTGACTCCGAAAGGTGCTTGCTGTATTACATTCTGTAAATTTTGGAACAACCCTTGATGTGATAAAATGCTTATTATTTTACTTCTATATATATTATTTTACTTATTATACGTACATTTATTATATTAGATATACTATAATATAATTAAGTGTGGTCTATCATGAAACTTTTTATATGGTACATAAGGAATTTTAGGCTAATTATGATTCTCAAATTAAGTTTTTCATAAAAAGAAGAAAAAGATCTGGAAAAGAGGTGAATTTCTTTTTTAACATTTAAAAATTGTGAAATTATAAGTACAACATTTTTTTTCTTTTCCTCTATATACCCCTCCCCATTCTCCTCCAAGTTCATGACCTCCTTTTTCACTAATTATTTACTAATAATCACACACATATGTATTTGCATGAACATATATATTCCTACCTGTAACCTGTTCAGCCCATATAATGTTACTTATTGCATAGATGCTTTTAGGGCTGACCTGTTGACCCTGAACAACCAAGAGCTGTGTGTTTGCCTAGAGAAGAACGCCTCTTCGACTCCCAGCTTTCCTCAGTTGCCTAAAGTTCTTTCTGTAGGACTGAGGCTTCATGGGCTTTCCCCCATCCATTCTGGCATGCCCAATGGTGTCTTCCTTGTTCAGCTCATGTTTAGACAGTCATGTTGGTGAGACTTTATGGATGTAGCTTCTGATGTTACTAGGAGACACACAATCTCACATAAACTCCCTGATCCCTCTTACTTTTAAAATCTTTCTGGCCCCTCTTCCTCCAGGGTCCCTGAGCCTTAGATGCATGTACTGTAGGCATATCCGTTGGGACTGGGCTCTACATATGGATTGAATGTGGTTTTCTGTAATGGTACCTGTCTGTTGCAAAGAGAAGTTTCCTTGATGTGGGGTGAAGACTACCCTTGTCTGTGGGTATTAGAACAAATGTAGATTGCTCTTAGGGATTATGCTGACTTAGTAAATTAGAAGTATAGATTCTCCTCCAATAACCCTGACTTCATTAGCGCTATGTAGGTTTCTAGTACCATGCACAATTTCCTCTTGTTGAGTGGGTCTTAAGTCCAATTAGAAAGCTGTTGGTTCCTGCCATGCTGTGCATGCCACTACTGCATCCTTAAGATTATTGTGCCATGCTGTTCTTTGATGATGATGTTCATGGGCTTCATGGCTGGATAGGCCTGTTGGTTGCCTCCCTCCCTGTGAAGCTTGCATAGAATTTCTGAAGTGTATGGTGTCTTGAGCAATAGGGACTTACCATCCACCTCTCAGGGTGTAGGTGACAAGGTCAGTAAGAGTAGGCTGTATGTTTTGGGAGTCCCCTGGACAGCCCTGGCTAATAACTCCGAAGAGGGCTTCTTGTGTCTGGTTTTGGTGCTCTTTGGCTCTTGGTAGGAGCACCCTTGGGGCAGATTTTTTTTTTTTTTTAAAGTGGAAAACACCACAGTAAACTACATCTGTTTATAGTTCGTAAAATCTCTTCAAATGTGAATATTGTTTCTAATTTTGTTCTTCTCTGGTAGAATACAGACCATTTATAATAAAATTATCTCCCTTTTCAAACGGATTTTTCTTACATAAGCTTTTCCTAAAATGTAACTTTATTTTATGTTCCAAGTATATAGATTGAACATTCTCAATCCAAAAATTAAAAGCCTGAAACACTTGAGAACAAGTCCTTCTCAGTGGCACATGATATTGAAAACTTCTTATGTAAAGTAGAAAATCTATGCTTCACCTTATGTTATGGACCAAGGAAAACAGGCTAGGAGCACTTCAGTTGTGTAAAAGTTACCTTCAGGTTATGTATAGAAAAGTATAAAGGGCATCAATTAATTTTGTGTTTAGACTTTGTTTGATGATAGGTTCAAATGAAAATTTTTTAAGGTGCTGAAGATGTAGCCCAGTTGTCGAGCATTTGCCTGGCATACAGTGTCTTGACATACATCACTGTGTGGGCTTTAAAAACAAACAACAAAATCACAAAATATAAGTGGGTTTTTATAGTCTTGTATTTTTATCTGTGTGGAGTACTGTCTTTAATACAGTATCTAAATTTCTTTACATGTATGTAGAAAGAAAGGAAGAATTCTTTTCTTACTGATTATGCCAGTGAATCAAAAACCAAGGATGTTAAGACAAATGTGGATCTCACGGAAGTAAAAAATGCCTTAAAGAAGCAGATATACAGAGACATATATAGAGCTCAGGTAATGCTTATCACACGATAACTCTTTCTTTAGTAAGCTGTAAGTGACTGGGAAGTATGTTTGAATTATGGATTGTTTGAATCCAGATATTTGGTGATATTTAGGGAGTACTGTGTGTTAGTGGATACTTGAAATCTGATACTTCAGGCTGGCTTATTGTGCTTTGCATCTCTGATTTTTTCTTGTTAAAATAGGAGCCCTCTTTTTCTAACTTTACATTTCTAGAATAGAAGCCAGACAATTATCATTTGAATTTATAACGTTTTAGTAACAAAATTCATTGCATCTTATAGCTTCACTAGCAATTTGTGTATTGCTTTGCCAATTTTTTGTCTTGTTTTCTATTGGCTTGCTTATTGAATATCTTTGTAGAACTTTCCGGAATCAGGATGTTATCTTTTATATTTGTTGCAGATATTTTTCACTGTAATCTTTTCTAAAAATTTGCAAGTACAGGTATTTTAAAACAATACAAGAGGTTTTTATGTGTGATTGATGAGAAAATGTGTCTCACTTTTTTCCCCATTGGACTTTTATATAAAATGTTCTCTGCATTTATATTTTTAATTATAAAGTACTAAGGAGAACAGACAACTTCAGATCTCTAAAGTGAAAATGACCTGAAGTTATTTTAATTGAGGAGGAGACAATAGAAGTCTGTTCATGAGAATGCTATTCCTAAAATGATGATAGTTACTAATCTGAGCCAGAATGAGCATCAGATTAATTATAGCTATTAATGTGTTCCTGAATCTATTTTGAATGTTTGGCCAAGGTTTTGTGCTTTGTAGGCTGAAATATAGTTTTCAACTTAAACTGTTAAATTTAATTATATGGTTGCTGTTTTGTAGGCTGTTCGATACAACTGCATCACAATAGATAAACAGCCTGTGTACAATGTAGAGGTAAGGGGCTTGGAGTTGGATGATGATTTGCGTCAAAAAAGAAATGTAATTTTTCGTCCTTTTGGTTTAAGGTAATGTCTTACTTATAATCAGATATGGGGTAAGGAAGAATTATTCTCTTGCAAAACGTTTTTCAGCACAGCTATCAATAGAGCTGAGAAAAAGAATGGACCTAGTGCTCATTATAGGTGAAGTATGTGCTTTTTCATATTTTGTAACTTTTATAATCACTGCTTTTGTGTTTAATTCTTGATCCAATACTTCTAAAATATTTTCTTTTATTTATCACCATTCATTCTTTTTAAATGGATTATTTTCTTCCATGTGGTCTTTAGAATGGTTCCAGTTAAAAACTGTTATTCTCAGGTTTGTAAGGCAAACATTGCCCCTTAAAGACTTTCTTTCAGAGAAATAGTTTATTTTACCCCTTCAGGCAATGAAAAATAATAAAGAAACAGCTAATAACACTTTCACATGCCTTCTAGTTTTTGTTGTTTGGTTTTTTGAGAGCCTTCTAGTTATGAAATACAGTAATACATGTTACTTGCTTGGGACGAGGAAAGTTCAAGTGCCGTTCAGTCTGTCTAGTAAGGACAGGAGTCCACTGTAGAGGAGGGGACAGAAGTAAGGACAGGAGCCCACTATAGAGGAGGGGACAGAAGTAAGGAAAGGGGTCCACTCTAGAGGAGGAAACAGAAGCTTTTTACTCACTCAAGATCTGATCTCAGAGGTAAACTTTTCTTCTTTCAGTCATACAATTATCTTTTCTTAGGTTAAAAATGCAGAGCTCCCCAGAGGAATATTAAACTTAATTGAAAGCCTCATAGAGGGACAGTTTTTTAAAGAAGCCATTGAAGAGCTTTCTTCTTTGCAAGCCCATTATGTCCCTCCTGTGTGCCTCCTCCATGCCCTTCTAGAGAATGTTCTGCAGGTAAGGACACATTGTGTACTTAGAATTATTTTTTTAAGGAGTGCTAAAATGTGAATATTAATTGTGATTTTTCTTTACATCCCATTTTACTAGAAAGTATAGTACCCATTTGTTACCACTTTTTCTATTTTTGACAATATTTATCTACTATAAATGACTTAACCTATTAAATGGATGGTCGAAATATATTGTATAAAAAATATTGTTCAATTTAAAAAAGACAAAATGTTACCTATTTTTGCTGTGGCATAAGTGTCAGATTATAGTATCAGATTGCTAAAATGCTTTCAGTAATAGTTATTTTATTTGTGGTATACAGGTTAAGTGAATGTAGTTGGTAAAAACAGATAGTTATATCTATGGAGAAGTAGCCTTCTATCGTGTTGAACAGGGTGCTGGTTTTATACCATAACAGGGATAAACTATGCTGTGGTAATGTTGAATACATGTAAGGCTGGAACATGAAGAGTTTCCACCTTTGCTTTCTTTAAATGTTCCTTGAGATTCTTAATCAATCATCCTATCTGAAAATCTCACTTATGCTACCCCTAATACTTAACATTTTCTGATGTGTAGAGCTGCATGATAACCTTCCCTGTTATTTCAAACTGATACAATTGTCTAATCACGAGTAGGCTAGAGTCACTGCTCTAGTTTTAAACGAAATTAACCTAACTGATGAGCTATTTTAGCTACAGTGTTTTCTTTTGTTTCTTTTTTAATAATAGGATAGCATAGACACCTTCTCTGGTCGGTACTTCCATATATTGTCGGCTCTTCTCCATCTGCACCCTCCTTGGAAGTCTCCAGCCATGCTAAGGTACTACTTAGAGCTCTTTCAGTGTCCAGCCTGTAGGGGAGGAGCCTGGTCTCTGGTGGAAGTGCTTATCAGGTAAGCTATTTGCATATGAGGATGCGTATTTGTCTAATAATCATTTGACTGTTTTTTAGAAATTGATTTTAAAAAGTATATTTGTATTTTTAGAAAAAATATGAATGCTTGTGTTTTGTATTTTGTTGCAAAACTTATGAAAAGGACAAACTTTATATTGATCATGTTTGTCAATATTTTTTTAAAAGTATAATAAATAGAATAGTACCAAATTTCAATTATGAATTTATACATATTTGAAAGAAAAATTATTAAATATAAGCATCAAATTTTAGTCATAAAAAGCATAAATGTTCGTCAATCTATGCAATATCTATTTTAGGGGTTTATATTATTCTAATTAGAATTAGAATTTCAGCCAGTACTTATTGTCTCCCAGATCTGTTATTACTGTGTCAGTTCCCCAGGCCTTTCTTGTTTTCTGAGTGTCTCCGGAAGTCCCTGTTGTTTTCCATCTAGCTAAACCAGCTATTGTTTTATGATTTGTACTATAACTTTAATAGTCTTCCTTTGTTGGAAAGAGTTTTTCATTTATATATCCACAAATGTCCTTCAAATAAGGGAGAAAGGACACTTGAGTAGCTAGGCCAAGGTGAGATCTTTTTAAGTTTCTTGAGAACATACCCAGGTTTTGTTGCAAACTAACTGGGACCAAGTGTGTTTTAACTCTTGACTGTGGGTCTGGGACCTGTGTTCAGTCCCCTGAACTTTGATTTTGAGAAGCTGATATGGTGACAGTATGCTTAGAATCCTCGCACTGGGGAGACAGAGACAGACTTGCTGACCAGCGACTAGTTTTGCTGCATTAGTGAGTTCATTTTACTGGGTGTGGGGGTGCACTTCCTTTAATCCCAGTACTCAAGAGACAAAGCAGGTGGATCTCAGAGTTCAAGGCCAGCCTGGTCTACAAAGAAAGTTCCAGGACAGCCAGGGCTACAGAGAAACCCTATCTTGAGGGGAGTGAGGGAGAGGGGGAAGACTCTATATTTAAAAAATGAGGTGGCAAGCGATTGAGGAAGATGCCTGACATCAGCCTCTGGTCTCCATGTGCACACAAACATGTATGCACATAAACAGACTCACAAAGTCAAGGACACTGGAGGCAGAAATAAAAAGCAACAGATACATTTTTGATACTATTAAGAAAATTTGGAGTTAAATAATGAATACCGTTGCCTAACTTCTGTCTCTGTAAGTCTTAGAATTTACTAGCGGTCTTATTTTCTCTGTAAAAATATGCTGCAGGGCTGGAGAGATGACTTAGGGGTTCAACTCACGACCCTCTGTTCTTCAGTTTCAGGGGATCCAATGCCCTTACCTTCTTCTGACCTCTGCTAGCACTAGATACATATGGTGCATAGACATACATGCAGGCAGAAACTCTGTGTGTGTGTGTGTGTGTGTGCGTGTGTGTACACCATAGAACTGTGCTAACCAACTCTTTCCTGATATGCACAAGCCAAATTCTGGTGCATAGTAGAACACAGCAATTATCCTTTAAAGTTCTACTGTACATGGTTATGACAGAAGATAGAAATAAAATATCAATTTTGGAAACTCTAAATATGCAGTCATTTCCCCCCATTTATTAAGTAGTGGAAATGAAAATAATCATGGGCAAGGAAGCATACTATAATTAGTATTATAAACTGAAATCATAGTGGATCAAAAGGACTTGATGAAATTCCTGTGTCTTTGTTCTTATCAGTGAGATGAAATGGACAAGGAGAGTACTGATAGTTGCTAGATGCGTTATAATATATTGAGACCAGAGAAACTAGATTTGTGTTAAGAACTAAATGCAGGTGGATGTCTGTGAGTTCAAGGCCAGCCTGGTCTGCAAAGGGAGATCTAGTCCAGGCAGGGTGAAACAGAGAAGTCCTGTCTTAAAAAAACAAACAAACAAAAACAGCAACAAAAAAGAACTAAATCTTCTATATTTGACATGATTGAAATTTACAGAAAATTTTTATTAAGCTTGATTTAAATTTGTTGAAGATTTTGTTAAAATTGTAATCTTAAAAAAGAAATATTTTGTCCACAATTTATTCAGTAACTTTATTTTTATGAAATACATTGTTGGGTTCATACTTTTCAGGTCTTGCCTTTTCAATGAAGGTTTCTGTCATCAAATATCAGAAAATATTGGTTCTAAGGTGGTCCATCTTACATTGCTGAAGTTTTTCTTTAATTTACTTGAAAGTGAAGTACGGCATTTGAGTCAAAAGTAAGTGTTAATCACAAGAAATACTTTTTATGTTTATAACTATATATGTATCTGTCTTTAAGAAGTCTCTTACTTTACGTTTCTGCGTAAGTTTTGTTTCAGTTTTCAAATACAGTGACGATTTGCTTATTACATTCATTTTCTTTGTAATTCCTAAATGCCCTGTATACATTACTGATTTGTATCTAACTGAGACCATTTTTTTCTGTGCACATTCATTACATATATTAGTGTACATGTGTGCGTGTCTATAAAGACCAAAGGCTCAACCTGAGAGTCATTCCTCAGGAATAGCAACAATTTTTTTGAGACAGCCGTCTTTCTTTGTCCTGTAGCTCACAGAGTAGTGACCAGTGAGTCCCAAAGACCTGCTTGACTCTCCTTCTCCAGCACTGGCACTGCCTGCTTCATGTGACATACCCAGTCTGTGAGGCCATTATTTATATTTTGTCCTTTATTTATTATACTATCATTTCTCAAAAATCGGTAACATTTTTGTCCTATCAAAATAAGTGTGATAACATCCATGATTATATTGGCATAATAACTTATCTTTTGTTTATATTTTCATTAGGTTGTGTGACTGGTCAGATTCTCAGAGTCTAAAGGTAACAGAAAAAGCAATTCTTCTTGAAATCTTTTGGTCAGGAAGTGAAACTTCAGGACTTTTGACAAAACCAGTAAATATGCTTTTGGAATGGACTATATATTCTCACAAGGAAAAATGCAAGTCTAATGATGTAAGTTGGAGTACTTTACAAAAGAATATAATTATAGAAAAAGCAGTTTGCTCTCCTTATCTGTAGGTTTCACAAAGTGCATATAGGAAATATTCAGGAAAAGTTTCGTCTCTACTGAACATTCACAGACTGTCTTAACATTATTACCTCAACAGTATGGTATAACAATCATGTGCATAACATTTAGATTGTATTAGTTAATGATGATCTATAGATGATTGGAATCATATGGGAGGATGTAAAGTATATATGTAGGCATCAGAGTATTTTATGCAAGATCTTGAGCATCCATAGATTTGGGGATCTATACATTGTGAAATCTGTGGTGTGTCCTGGAAGCAATCCAGGAAGCAGATACTGAGGGATTTTCATGATTTGAAGTAGCATATGTTTTTCTTCCCTTTGTACTTTGAACTCCTTGAAAAAATTTGAACTCAGGTATGTTACTGTATACTACATAGTTGGTCTACTTTCATAGTAACAATCCTGAGAGGGCAGATTGTTCTTCATCTTTCATTTAGACATAGCATCCAGGAAGAGTTATATGTTCAGTATTGTGAAGTCTGTAGTTATCATCCTAAATGTTTTATTTTTAGACATTCCATTTTTTGTGGAAACTATGGTTTAAAGAAATTAGTCTCTGCACTTTTGGAGAGCCCCACATTAAAAAGTTTTGTTTGTGTTTAAAACTTAATAGATGTTGATAACTTACTGAAATTTTTCTTCATGAGTAGATTTTACCTGCATTGAAATTCTGAACACATTAATTAGAGTGTATTACCTATTCAGAATATCCTGAAACATTAAGTATAATAAAACATTAAACTGTGTCTCAAAATAAATATAAATGAATATGTAATTGAAAGATGTGCTAAAGGGTTTTAAAGAAAAAAACCATAACCAAGAATTAATGAAACACCGTCCTGCCACTTTCTGTTGAACTATATCATTAAAAATAAATTAAAAAGTAGGGTACACCTGAAAACACATTGTAACAGAAAATACACAGTAAAGTTTATATTCATAACACAAGTATGTCCTTTTAATGAATAAAATAATAAATCAAGTAGGAAATGAAAACCAATTAAATGGCAATCTTTAAATGTTGAATGTATTCACTAAAGTTTATGAAAATTTAAAAATGAATGACATTTTTATTTTTATCACTTACACTATCCTTGCTACTCTTGTAAACACTATTATACATTTTCTCATATGCCTTATTATATCCAATGACGTGGAACTAGTCTTATGATATTGTAAGAATACTAAGGCATAAAGGCTAAATAAAATTTTCAGTTTTATTGTCTTCAAAACCCAGGATTATCTTTTCCACACTGTCTATTTTCTTAACTGAATTGGACTGTTGTCCCCTCACTACTTCTAAAACATACAAGTCATTTATTGTCCTGTGGGTTAGAATGTATAGAGAAAAGTTTCAGTCTCATCCACAAGACAGAAGTTTTGAAATACGTTTAAAGTACAGTACTCACATTCTACGTTAGTAGTTGTTGATGTACAGATGGACGCTTAGTGGTGTGTTGTGGAAGTATGTCTAGTGATGGGAGGACCAGAGGAGCATGCTGGAAAATTGCATAACAAGATGAATTCAGTCCAGATTAATTAACAAGCAGTATATATATTGTTCTCTAAGGTGGGTGGAGGAGGAATATGCAGAATATTTTGTATACTAAAATTGTGTGAGGGTATAAAGAAAAAAACAAACAGGTAATATTTTGAGTGCATCGTAGTAAATATTAGTTGCCTTTCACCTTTCAGAATAGGTCCTTATTGCCTAATTTTCTTTTATGATGTCATTAGTTTCACACTTTTTAATTATTTCTTTTGTCCTCTCATCTGTCTTCTCTAATGTTGGGATCTTTTTCTTTTTAGTCTTTGTTTCTAATACTTGTGTTTACCAGAAATTACTTTTGGAGTACAACTTGACCTTCATTTCTTATATTTAATCTAGGGTATGATTATTTTTTAAATAGTATTTTATTTTGTTAAGTTTGATTTCTCCTTTCATGCATTATACTAAGGATTAAAACCAGAACCTTCTTTTCTTGCTCACCAAGCAGTCTTACCACCAAGCAATATCCTAGCCCTAAGAGATATGTATTTTAAGATTTACAAATTGATGGTGTTGTGTTATTGTGAATGAGTTTATTTGTGAGTGAGTTAATGTGAATGTTTTTTTGGCTGTCCCTATCTGATAATTTCCAGTAGGAAGTTATAGTGAAAGGCTGTGATTTTCTGCTTTCTGGAATTTCCTGACTTGGGGGTCGGGGGGGGGGGGGGGGGGGGGCTAAAGAAAATCAAGTTACAAGAATGTGTTTTTGCTATAGAGTATGGTGTTCTCTGTCACCTACTAGGTCAAGCTTAATCAGCTTTGTAGGTTTTCTTCTTCTTTTTAATGCCATCCTAACTAGTAGTTACTATGCCATAGCCAGCAGTTAGGCAATACATTTTTGGGAGCAGTAGTTTGTTAAGGCAGAGAGCTCTGGTGGCAAACTAATATAAAGCCAATTCCTTTTTAAAGAATGAAATCCCATGTAGTTTCCAGTTTCTTTTAAGTATTTCCTGAGGTCCTTTTATTGCTGTTTGTTAGACTTACAGTACTTCTTGTCATGCTTTTTTGTGGCTGGAGGGGGGGGGGGTGCTGTACTTTTCTGTACTTGTAAAATTACTAATATGGTGTTTCCATCAACTCTTTGGCTTACCAATTCCTTTCAGTTGTGTCTAGCATCTTCTAAACATTTTGACTGCAATTTTAATTTTTGTCCTTCCCAGTTGTAGATCTTTCCTGTCTCCTTCTGTGTGTGTGTGTGTGTGTGGTTTATAATACACTACAGAAATGTTACTTTTTTCCTTTGAACATTACAGTAATAATTCTTCTGTGATCTGTGCCAGTTCTGCTTATTTCCATGTGTGAGGTCCTTTTGGATCTTCCTATATTATTATTTCCCTGGTCTCCTATCTATGTGTTTTCCCTCTCTGTCTTTTATTTTCTCTCCTGGACTAATTATCATTTATGATCAGTTTTAATTTCCATTTTAATAACTGTTTGTAGAAACAGTTTGTCAAAGACCAAAATACCTTTTTTTACAGTAAGTATTCTTTACTTCTGCCTAGAGCTTGGGTATTCTATCAGTGAGGACCAACCTGAACCCAGTGTCCATGTCTGAGGAGCTCTGCATAGCCCTAATGAACTAACACTCACATATTTGTAGCACTGTTTTATGCATTCTCATTCTCAGAGTGAAACCCACCCACCCACCCACCCCAGGTCTTGGCCTATTGTGAATTAAGCCTTTGGCCATAACCTCTTTTTCACCAGTTTCCCTAGATTACAGAAACTACAGTTCTGTGTCTTTATATCCCTCAGAATCACCAAAATTGATCAGGACAAAGGTAGTCCTGATTAATTTTTTAAGTCTTACTTGACTTTTACCAAACTTTTGATTATCTTGCTGTAACATTTCTTATAACTTACTACTTATTTCAAAAGATGTTTTATGTATTTCAGCTGACATTTTTAGTTTTCAAAAACTGTTCATCAGAATTCCCAGGTTTCCTTTAACACAAGCACTGAATTTTAAAAATAAGAGAAAAATCTTAAGCCAGGCTTCATGGTATCTATCTGAATTGCACATAGGAGGTAAAAATGGGAAGATGACAAGTTCAGGTTGCCCTCAGCTATGTGACAAGTCAGCCTGGCCCGATTGGACGTAATTGTGTTAGGGTCCCTGCAGATATCACGAACAAATGTTGGTGTGCCCCAGAGAGGGCACCAACGAGGAAGCAAAGTAACTGGCACACAAACCACCCTTGGTGAACAAGGGACTTTCTGGGGTTATAAACGGGAGCAGGAGTGAGAAGTTACCTACGGAGCAGGGGAAGCTTACAGACTACTGTCACGGGAAGAAAAGCTTCCCCACCCATCACTCACACAACTATTACTGTGTGTGAATACCGGGGAGGAGCAGGAATCTGGGCATGTGGTACACTGCCATTTGGAGCTCTTCCTCTCCTCTGAGATAATGGTAATGCATGCAATCACAGCTGCTCTGGTTTCAAGAAGGCAGAGTCCATGTTATGCCCAGAGGACAGAGTTCACAATACCCTGTCAAACAATCACAAACAGTAAAACTCTTCCTAGATATAGCTGGACTTCTTGGTCACCAAGTAATCCTATTGTGTGAGCGTATCTATTTTTTAGTTAACTGCCTTTTTATATTGTGTACATGTATGCGAGTGTACAGATGCTAGAGATTATAGAAGCCAGAGGACAGTTTGCAGAAGTTGGTTTTCTCTTTCTACTTTGTAGGTAACTGGCAACAAATTCAGGTTGTTAGCCTTGGTGGCAAGCACATTTATCCACAAAGCTATCCCACTGGCCCCAAGTATCTGATTTTAATGAAAGTGTAAACATGCAAATGCATAGACATTTAGAATACTCAACCAAGTGATTGTCTGTATCTTACTGACAGTTCAGTATAGAATGTATAATCTTAAGCTTATTATAAATTACTTTTTGTCTTTTTCTTTTTACTCAATATAATCACTTGGGATAGAAAATATACCTTATTGAATTCCTTTTATTTGTTTGATTATGTAAGTGATATTGCTCATCTAAAACTGAAAACGATAAAACTAATGTTTTCACAGTTTTACTAAAGCACCAGTCAACTACAGATAAAAGATTACTCAAGAAACATATAAGTAAATAGAAATAGATTTATACATATTTATAACTCAAAGGTTTTTCTTCAAATTTATAAATAATTTTATTTATTTGAGAAGCAATCTGCAGCAAATGGTATCATCAGTTCTAATATAAAAACTGGTTTTAAATTTTGCTAGTTAGTATTATATGTAGCATTTAAATTTCTTGAACTCACTAACTTACTTTTTTATTGTAAATACCTTTCTGTTAGGAACCATTCTTATACTTAATTAAATCTTTTTTGGTACTTTTCAATTTCAAGAATTCCATG